TTTTTAACATCTTTCCTTCTAAGTCAAGACAAATCAATTTTTATTTGTTCTGAAATATTATTTGTTCCAGATCCAACAACTTTTATTTCGCCCTGTTGTTAACAATGTTATTTTTATGTGTTCTACCTGTTGGTTACGCCATAGTTTGGGTTGAACCATCCTGGCACTGTGGTCCATTTTCTGGTTACAAGAAAATTTATTATGTAGCGACCAAACAGCTTACTGATTCTCTTCCTGATCCAATTAAAAGGTATATTTTCATTTATTATTGTAACATTTGTAAATCACATGATATTTCATTCAAAAGATTATAAATTTAAAGGATAAACTGGTAAAAGGAAATCTAGTCTGTACTAGTTTGTACTTATCGTGTCTTTTGCTTTGTAATTTTTTTCAGATGCCTTGATTACATTGCTTCACCTGGCATAGTAATTCCATTAATTGTCCTCATGACACTTATTATTTATTACATGGTCTCATTAACTGGCTCATTAAGAGAGGCTAATAATGACTTGAAGGTAAACATTAAATTATAATTCCTAAATGGAGAAATTAACTGAATGTTATTAATTTATGAAATTTTAATTAATAATAATTAATAAATGATCTTCTTGACTCAATAAAGTGAATCGAAGAAATTTCATCTGTTACATTCATTTAGTTGTTATGAAAAAAGAATTGGTAAGTCTTTCATTATTGATTTCTTCATTATTGCTCAGATACAACTGCGTCACGAACGTACTGAAGAACGTCGCAAGTTATTTAAGATAGTGAAGAAGAGAGAAGAATTGTCCAACTTGTCCTTTCTAAAATGGAAAAGAATGTTACCAGTTTTATCTAAGAAATCTACGAAAACAAGAGCCAAAGGTAGACAACAAGATTTAATAATTAATAAATAATTAAAATAATTAAATTGTCAATGAAATTATAGACGATGTAGAAATTGCAAGAACAGACGTGAATGAAGGGAAACGTTCAGCTTCAGAAGTGATAGAGTTAACAGACATGGAGCAGGATGTGATATCACACGATCAGGCACAAATTTCTGAAATTATTAATTATGATGAAAAAGGACCAATTAATAGCAGGTAATAATGAATTTAAAATTATATAAAAGATTATTTCTTTATAAAATCATCTACTTGAATTATTGAAATATTCAATTAATAGCAGTAAAATAAAAAGAAATCATTGATGATGACTTGAACATTGCAAACAGGTTGACGAAAATTCTTTATGATTCTTGGGAATCACAATCCAGTGACTGTGCCGTGATACCAGAGATTCGCATAAATGAAGCGGAGTGTCATTCTCGATCAATTTCTAGAAAAAGTCACAATGTAAGTGAAAAGAAATGAATAAAAGGCTTTAAGAAGTAAAAGATTCAGATACAAACATCAATTTTATTCAGCCAGGTCTTGAACACTGAACTGATTCATTCGTTTGCTTATATTAAGAATTGACAAATTCTTCTTCCAAACGTGCACGCATTACGTATTTAATTTTAAAATCTATTATTTTCCTAAACTTCACTAGTTC